TTGTGCAGAGAAATAGGAGCTCCAATCAGCTGGGCAGAGTCAGGGAAGTTCTCCCACAAAAGGTGAAAACTGAGTCATAAAAGAAGATCGGTTGGTTTCGAGATGGTGATGGTTGAGGGAGCATCCCAGGCAGAGGCACCTGCCAATGCCGATGAGATTTATCAGGGACCAACAGTTGGTTTAAAATTACTTGAGTATTTAGGGTGCAAGTGAAGTGGTGAAAAATGATGTTGGATAAATGTTAAGGACATGTGTAATGAAATGATCCTTTGGGCCACAGCACAGAGTTTATTATGGGAAGCAATTGAAAAAGGAGTAACAGGATTAAATTTGTATTAATGTAAACCACATTGATGACATTTTTTAATATTATAAATGTAAGTAATTGCATATGAGTATACATGTATTCTTTATTCTAGTTATCCATTTCTCTGTTTTTTCAAGCACTCTCCCTATCTTTTTTTTTTTTTTAATTCAATACTCAGTTCAACTTCCCATGAAACTGTCTCAGAACTTTTTAAAGTAAGGTAACAGATCCTAGGAAGGCATGTCAAGATGCTCTCATATGACAGCCAGTGTCATCTTCCAATCAAGGAGCAGCAGTCCTGTTTAAACCAGACACACTAAAAGTACATCTGGAATCAGCAGCTTGAGAAACATATTTGGAAAAGGCATTCTTCACAGAAGAATGGCCTTCTCTATTTTTCCAACAGAGCATGTAGTTTCTGAGAGCTCATTAAATAAAAGCCCAACTCCACATTTTTGCCTCTGGGCACAGCCTTTTTCTTCTTTTTCCAGCTTCTCCTGTCCTCCTTAGTGATGTAATTTGCTTGGGAATCCTTGTATAAAGAAAGACATCTGTTTCCATTTTCTTCTTCCTGGAGAGAGGAACAGGATCCCTGTACATCATTGAATAGATCAGTATCATCATGAATGTTAGCACTTTCTGTGAGGCATAAGCCCAAAGACCAAGGAGAATCAGGGACTGGAGGACAAGACGTGAAGTG